AAAAAACCAAATATATATATATATATATATATATATATATATATATATATACAGTCCAAACATACTGTTTACTGAAATTAATCTAATATTTCTCTTTTCTATTTATTGGTTTATTTATTTTGAGACAGGGTCTGCCTGGCCCAGAACTCGCAGATGCTCGTTTGCCTGCCTCTGCTTCCTGAATGCTGGGCAGAAAGTTGCGTGCCATCACATCGGGCTCATTTTCTTCCTTTTAAAGATTTATTTTTATTTATGTGTATGAGTGCTTATCTGCCTGTATGTACATTTACCCCACGAGTGCAGTGCCTAGAAATCCAGAAAAGGACAGTAGATCCGGTGGAACTGGAGTTAAAAATGGTTATTAGCCACCATGTGAGTGATAGAAAATGAACCCAGTTCCTCTGGAAGAGCAGCCAGTGCTCTTAAGCACCAAGCCATCTCTTCAGCCCCTTTGTTTGTTTGCTTGTTTAAGACAGGGTTTCTCTGTGTAACCCTGGCTCTGCTGGAACTCGCTCTGTAGACCAGGCTGGCCTTGAACTTGTAGATCTGCCTGCTTCTGCCTTAGAAGTTCTGGAATTAAAAGTGTGTGCCACCACTGCTCTGCTCATTACTTTTTAATGTTGTGGCCTAAATTATATTGCTATAGATCATTTTTTTAGTATAGAGCCTAAAAGACAAATGAGGACCTGTTGTGGAATATTAGTTGAAGGTGTGTCATATTTGTTAATGATGCAAAGATGTTTTGTAAATGGAGGTAGAGCTTTTCTTTTGTCCCAACCACCGAGTCCCTAACAATCACACAAAAGCATATATTAATTATAAAATGTTTGGTAACTAGCTCTTTCAACTTAAATTAACCCAGTTCTATTCATCTACATTTTCCCACATGGCTTTGTGGCTTTACCTGTTCTCTAGCATGTCTTGTTCCTCTGGCGGCTGGCTCCCATCTCTCCCAACTCCACCCTTCTTTCTCCCTGATCTCCGTTTGGCTTTCCCGTCTATCCTTATTCTGCCTGACTATAGGTCAATTCAGCTTTATTATTAACCAATGAGAGAAATATATATTTTCAGTGTACAGAAGCATTACCCCACAGCAATGTGCTGCATTCTTTTAGGTTGCATTTGTTTTGCTCTGTGACACTGTGCTACTTTGCCTCTCTAAAACACCTCATCATCTAATAAAGACTAATAGGTAGGAGAGGGATAGGCGGGACTGCCAGGCAGAGAGAATATTAGAAGAAGAATAAATAGAAAAAGAGAAGAGGGAGAGAAAAAAAAAAGGAGAGGAGGAAGTCAGGGGCCAGCCACTCAGCTACACAGAAAGTCATAGAGTAAGAAGTAATGTATATAGAACAGAGAAAGATAAAAGTCCAGAGGCAAAAGGTAGATGGGAAAATGTAAGTCAAGAAAGCTGTCTAGAAACAAGCCAGGCTAAGGTCAGGCTATTCGTAAGAAAGGATAAGTCTCTGTGTAATTATTTGGGGGCTGGGTGGCAGGTCCCCTAAAAAGCAGAGAGCCAAAAGAGTAAAGAGTAAAACAAACAAACAAACAAACAACAAAAAAAACCCAACTACACCAGGCAAGAGGCAGAAAAGGAAGCAGGAGCCAGGACACTAAGGAGGGTGAAGAGGCAAAGATAGATGTGATCTTTGGGAGCAGTGGCCAGAGCCCGAGACCCACTTCTGCTCAGTGGATGACATCATTCTGACCTCTGAACTTTCAGTTTCTTCCTTCTAACCTGGGGATATGGAGCACAGGGATGCCCTACAGAGCTGCCCAGGAGGTGTTTACAGGGTGTGCTTGCCCTTGTTGAGAGTATCATCCTATTTGCTTATCGGCTAGGATTTGATTCTCAGGCAGCTAATCAGGCACTGGGGTATGCAGGCTGTGGAGTGATCCATGGTTCAGAAAGACCCCTCTAGACTAGGGCAGGGGGACCAGAGCAACGGCTTCACAGAAATCCAGGCGAAAAGTGTCTGTGTACGTAAGAGGAGAGCCTGTTTCTCAGGTGGGTTAAGAATGGAAGCCACAGGACATGGTCCTGTGTGGGGTGTGGCAATTAAGAGAAGATTAGAAGGCTGGGCATTGGTGGCACACGTCTTTAATCACAGCACTTGAGAGGCAGAGGCAGGTGGATCTCTGTGAATTCAAGGTCAGCTTGGTCTATAGGGTGAGTGGTGAGTTCCAGGACAGGCTCTAAAGCTACACAGAGAAACCCTGTCTCGAAAAAAAAAAAAAAAAAAAGACGACGAATAGGGGTATTACAGAGATTTCTGGCTGAGTGGCCAGATGGGGATGGTCCTCCAGGGAGGGAAATGGCTGGGCTTTGCCAACTTGGGATCAGGTTCTCTTTCATCTCTGTAACCTTGAGGTCTAGGACTTCTTGGTTTGAGAGTGCTAGGAAAGGGTGCTGCTTTGAGACCCTGGTCCTGGGTTTGCTGCTGGTTCAGTCTACCAGCTAGATGATTTCAGGCTCATTATTTCACCTATCTGGGCTCACTCTCCCCACCTGTAGAAAGGGAATAAGGGTGGCCCCATCATGGACTAACAGCAGGTTCAGGGGCTGAGGTATAAGCACTGAGTGCTCAGCGCGCCTGTCCAGACTCCCCATTGATCCAGGCCTTCTCTAGCAAGGCCTCATTTTCTTGAAGGAGAAAGCCAAGAGACCTCTATAGAAGCTTGTGCCTGGCCCCTTCATTCCCCTGCAATTAAGAAGGGAGAGGCTGGAGAGATGGCTCAGTGGTTAAGAGCACTGACTGCTCTTCCAGAGGACCTGGGTTCAATTCCCAGCATCCATATGGTGGTTCACAACTGTCTCTAATTCCAGTTCCAGGGAATCCAACACCCATGGCCAAACACCAGTGCACATAAAATAAAAATAAATTTGAAAAAGGGAAGATGGACCCAGTGCATGGAGAACTTCCTTTCTGAGGCAAGAGTTTAGAAAACCCTCTGATTCCCCTCCTTGCCCTACACAGAGAACACGTAGGAGAGGATGTTCTGGGCCATGTAGACCCTTACTCCTGTCTTCTGGACCTGGCAGGGAGGGGGAAAGCTGGAGCCCTCATAGGGCCCTAACCTCCTGCTTCCAACATGTGGGACTCCAAAACCACCAGGACGGGAGGGTGAGATTCATAGTAGAGAAGGGGACTTGGGAATCTGGGTGATTTCCCAGCCCTGTCACGGTGACTCAGGAATCCCGCCTCATCTTAGACTCCATTTCCTCGTGTCTTGCTTTTTCTCTGATGCTGTCAACACCTGGCTGATGCCAAGCTTTAAGAGGGAACCAGGAGGACTCAGAAAGGGGATACGAGGGCAAGAACCAGACAGCTCTGGGTTCAGTGTTGTGCCCATCAGTTTACTTGAGCCTGTTACTTCCATCTCACTGTGCCTCAGTTTCTCCGTTTGTAAAGCAGGGATTATAGACCCCTTCCCTCTGGAACATGTTGGAATCACTCAACATACACAGCTGGTGAGTCAATCTGCCTGCACCACAGCTGGCTGATGCCTGGTCTGTGGCCGCTGACTCAGTGTCTTCTCCATCTCTCTTCCCTTGCTTCTGCTCCACAGTCCCCATTCCCTCCAAAGCCAGCAGCCTATCAGCCCTCTCACTGGCCAAAGACAGCCTGGTTGGCGGCATCAGCAACCCCAGTGAGGTCTTCTGCTCCGTGCCTGGCCGGTTGTCGTTGCTCAGCTCAACGTCCAAGTACAAGGTGACAGTGGGGGAGGTGCAGCGGCGACTCTCACCCCCGGAGTGCCTCAACGCCTCCCTTCTGGGGGGTGTCCTCCGAAGGTAGGAAGGCCAGCCCTCAACCCTATCCAACTGCCCAGCCAAAATCTTTAGTCTCTGTGGGACATCACACCAGGCCCCAACTGTCATCCCCACTTCAGTTTCTCTGACAGAGCAGTGCCCAGGGACTGAAGATTGTACATGGTCTGGGGTTGGTGTGTGTGTGTGTGTGTGTGTGTGTGTGTGTGTGTGTGTAGGTCGAGGTCCCTAGCAACTTCCATGAATTGTTGGGTCTAAGATTGAGCAGGGGCAGAGAAGGAAGTGTGAGTACAGAGGAAAAGATCCCTCTACACTAACCAAGGTGGGTAGGGCTGGTTCTGGGAAGAGTGGCCCTTTCCTTCTCTCTTCCTCAGGGCCGCACAGGCCTCATTGGTGTGAGTTTGGAGTGAGCAGTATGGTGGGCCACGGTTTTCTTTGTGCGTGTTCCTGTGTCTGGGAAGGGGATCTGCTTGGGAATAAGGTGTAATCATCTAAGGACGGCATGCGTATGTGTGGTAGGGGCTGGGGATGGCCAGGAGTGTTTCTACAGTGTGAGGCTCTGCATTAGTTGGGGATGTGTGGCCCACAGTGGGTCCTATGTGTATATATGTGCAATTGCATGTGCGTCTGCAGACGGTTGGTTTGTCATTGCTTTTTCTTTTCCTTTTCCTTTTTCTTACTTTTTCTGTTTTGTCTTGTTTTTATTTTTTTGAGACAGGGTTTCTCTGTGTAGCCCTGCTGTCCTGGAACTCACTCTGTAGACCAGGCTGGCCTTGAACTCACAGTGATCCACCCGCCTCTGCCTCCAGAGTGCTGGGATTAAAGGCATGCGCCACCACCACAGCCTGGTTTCTTCTTCTTCTTCTTCTTCTTCTTCTTCTTCTTCTTCTTCT